TGTATTTTATTTCATAAAATTTAAAGTTAGAAAAGTAGATCCACTTATCCAAATTGTTCCCAACACAGTTAAATGTGCTCCAGTATCTGAATTGAGTATCAGTTTAACTTTAAATTTTTAAATTAAATTAAACAAAAAATTTAGTTCTTCAGTCACGCTATTTCTGTTTCAGTAGGCAGTAGCCACACATGGCTAGTGGCTACTGTATTGGCCAGTACAGATGATAAACTCTTCTTAAATAAACTCTTTTTATGTATCTTCCTTTACTTCCAAAATCCCAAAGCCTTCTATCACCTCAAATCACAGCATTCTGGAATAGAGACAGGGTGTCTTCAGAGTCATCTGCTCCAGCTTCTTGAGGAGCCGGGGCCCCGAGAGAAAGTGCCATGTCCAGTTCATTTTGCACCCTGCCCTTGGCACTTGCTTTGCACTCAGTGCTCTCCTCAGGTCGGACAGAGACCGGGGATGTGCCTGCAGGGAGCTTCCACTGCAGTGAAGGATCTCCTCCTCTCTGCTGGCCCCTGTGGGCTTGATGGAGAGACCTGAGGAAGCCCGCCCTGGGTGCCTGTCCCCATCCACCCATGTGAGGTCACAGAAGCAGCTGGTGTGCTCGAGACCAGCTGGCTCTCTCCAGCGCTGAGGTCAGGCCGGCCAGTTGCACGGACGGCGGCTGCAGGGGAGGAGGGAGGGCTGAGGGCTAAGCCAGATGGTACCAAGGCCAGTGCTCATCTATCGGGAGTGTGCAAAGGACCACCAGTCCCTCAGTGTTATCCAGCCAGCCACAGTCTTGTTTTTTGTTTTTTTTTTTTAAGGACTTCAGGTATCTCCTCTGCAAATGAAGAATAATTTGTGACTCTGAGGTGATGATTTCACAGGGTGCTTTTTTGTCACTTATAACCCCTGACAGGTTTAGCACTTGTTTCCTGTCTTGTTCCCCCGTATTGTTCACAACCTGCGCAAGGTCTCTTGATGTCACCTTTATCTAGGATACCAAAATTAATGAAATGACAATGAATCCATTTTTCTTTGTGAAGGAAAAATGTTTTGACTATCTCTTACGGGGAGGCGGCTCTGCTTCCATGAAAACTGAAGGGAGCGCAGCTGGAAGTAGTTCTGGTTCCATCCAAACACACACTTGCCTCGTCACCACAAGCTTCGTCACCGTGAGCCTCGTCACCGAGAGCCTGGAGTAGGGCTGGGAAGCCACAGCCTCCCTGGCAGTACTGGAACCATTTCTTTTTAGTTTCTTTCTTGCTTCCCATTCTCTGTTATTCACTATACTCCCTCTCTTCACGATGTCATATTTTTTTCAAAGTGCACAGCTATTGTAACTTCAGAATTTCCAAGTGACGGTGTCATTGCCATAGAGATCACATGCATTGTTGTTTGTGTATCAACTCAGCTCACCAGTGTGGAGACACAATATGAAATGACAACCAAGTGTAGTCAAGTTATTGATTGGCTGAACTAATATTTTTAGCTTATCTTAAAATCCTGGAAAGGTATATGCAAAAATTGTGGAGAAAAAAACTCCCTGACTGTGGTATCTAAAGTCTGTAAAACATCATAATGAATTGATTCAGCTTTATTTTCAGTGGAATAATTAGTCACAATTTCTTGGTTCCTGGAGTAGATATTTTTCAGGGTGTAAATATTACTCCGTATGCCAAACTGAAAAGTGATGTTTACTTTCTTTGTAGTAGTAGTAGTTTTATGCTTTAATAATGTACAGAAATAAAGTAATTACTCAGAAACAGATGTCTGCAACTATTAGAAGTTCGAAAGATCACTCTTGTACTATATTTTGAAAGGATGGTTTATGAATTTTTAAACCTGGGACTTTTATAAAACAAGAACAGATTTTTTTTTCTTGAGAGAAGTCACTTAAGAATTGTTGTTCCTTAACTTTTAATAGCTTCGATATTCCATGGGTAGGCCATTCCGTCCTGTGCAAATCCCGTCCATTACACCCTCATGGCCAATGGCAAGGAGTAGCCCTGGAGAAGTTGATCCAGATGTGAGTGACCATTGGACTGACTAAACCTTGTGTTTCCCTTTCCTGTCATGCTGTGTTTGCATCCCATTCTTGTTACAGTCACGGACCTGCCACCCCGCTCAGACACTTAAGCTTGTACTAGCTGGACAGTCAGTTTTACTTTGAAGATTCATACTAGTTCTGTAATCTCCCAGAAAAGAACAAACTCTTGAGATCTAAGTGGAAAAGTTTGATAAAGTGAAAAGTTTCAGTCAAGGAATCAAGTTTTTTAAAGGTCTTTTAATGTTTCAATTTCATCTATGATAAGGGCTCACTTTCTAGAATTATTGAGAGTCAGTACTGCCAATTCACTTTGGGTGGACAGACTGTCTTTTGTGGGTATGTTGGGTCAATACCCTTGTGTTGAGAATAAGTATACAAGGAGCTCAGGAGTTACTTGTCAGGATGTGTGCTGGGTAGGGAGAAAGGGACTAAGCCTTGAGAAATACAGCAATCAAATTCTAGGGCCCACGGGGCTGCCTTCCTTGGTAAAGTCACTGTTCGTAGTTCTTCTAGTTTAGAAATGGAGGACAAAAGCTCACATTTTCTGTAAGAAAAAAAATCTAAACAAGCTATATGCCTTAGACTTTATTATCAAAAAATCCAAGGTGACCAAAGATTCACATTATGGCATCAATTTCTGAACATTTGGGGGAAGCAAAGAATTATTGTAGAGAGAAATATGTCAAAAAATACCTGTGCCCAGAAATAAATCTTCTGAGTAACAGGAGCTCCAAAAAACCAAAAACCTGTGGCTTGTTTACCTAATTTCCAACTATACTTTTGCTGATGCAGATCAGTGAGAAAGTGTCGTGCTTTGCCAGCCTCTGATGGAGAAATAACCTTGATCAGGGGTACTTATAAATATATTTTAAAGTATCATTAATGTCTATAAAGGAAGGAAAAAAAGAAGGTCCTGGAGCCAGTGGGAAACCAGCCAGTTTTTTGGCTGGCTGGCCTCTTCAGCTTGCTGAATATAAGGAAAGGAAATTGTATGAATGTTCCTCAAAGTACAGGATGATTTATATAGGGAGAAAGTGCACCAAAGTTTTAATTTTTATTCTTTTCTGTGCCCCACCTGTTACTATTACAATAAAAAATCATGGTAGAAAAACACTCATTTTTTTTTACTATAAAGACCCAACTGTGGTTTATCTGCTTTTGGATCTGACTTACATTTAATTCTCCCCCTTCATTTTCCCTCCTGTTTGTCAGATGGATGGTCGCATAGGCAATGGAGAAACTTTCCAGAAGTCTTTCTTCATGAAGATAGTTTGTGTGGACAACAAGCACGTGAGCCTCACACAGGAGCCTCACAGGAGTGCACACAGGAGGCCCTGGGTACCTGTATCAGCAGAGTGGTTTCCACATGGGTCACAGTGAGGCCTCAGAGAAGTATGTGGTCCACTGGTAGTAGGAATGAGCCACCATGGTCCGTAATCTTTCCCTTCCCATTTTCTATCACTGCCTGGGAGAAACTATAAAGCATCCTAACAGGGGAGAAGGGGAGGTATCTTTGACTTTCAAATCAGAAATATGATGAGTAGAAGTTTGCAGGAACCCACACTTGGTGCTCTTAAGAAGCAGGTGAACAACAGCTCCAGAGCACTGTGGCCACATCCTCGCATGGTGCAGTGGGCTTTGTGATCTGCCCTGTACCCACCTTAGCAGTCAGCCCTGCAAAGTCAAATGCACTGACCTCCAAAGTTAGGGACTTCAGTACTGGAAGCATACAGAACAGCACCTTCTTCTCCTGCTCATTTCCTTGGTGAAATTAGGGTTTGTTATGGGGCCCAAATGTTTTAGGCCCCTTCTGACATTTCAGTAGTTTCTTGCTAACGCTGTTACTGTGTGTGTGTGTGTCAGTGATGCCCGACTTATTAGATTTCTTCCAGTGCATGCATCCCAGCAGAAGACACCCCAGCAGGACTTGAGCACTGCTGCTGCTTCACTTCATATAATGAATATTCAGACGCTGCAGTCACTGTGGACTCAGGTGGCAGAAATAGTAAGGTGATCGAAGCAAACCCAAATGGGAAAGCCAAATCTACATGTCAGCGACTCAGAAACACTGATTATAGCACAGATTCCCCATTCTCTGACCCTGAGACCCCAGGAGAGGAGACTCCTGGGAACTCCTATGAATCACGCATCTGTTCAATACACCAACATGCTCACGTCTTTCTGGATGATGTGTTGTCATCAGTGTGTTGTTTTTAAAAGACAACAAGCCCTTCTGTAGTCCCCTCCACAAAATGCATTTAGGCTGATAGTTCAGCATAAAGGATGCACTGTGGAGCCCGGCAATGCATGCATTGTTTCCCCTGAAATGCAGTCAGGAGCTCCAGAGTAAAATCTAGTGTTTTTCTTTGAATTCTTATTTTATATATTTTGTCACCATCAGCAGTTAAACTAAAGTAGGAACTGCTCCATTCTATTACGGGTTAAATTATGCTCTGTGCAGATCTAGTGGTGATGTATAAATTGCAGCCCTTTCTTTTTTTTTGAAAGATTCTAAAATAGGTTTTCAGAATTAGTGCTGGATTTTTGCGTCTGCGTGTGTGGTGACTCTTGATTTTTTCCCTTCGGAGAAGCATCCTTTGCAGCATTCCCCCTTCCGAGGAATCACTTAGACACTTCCTGCTGGTGGCAGGGGATACAGCCATAATACAGCTTCCTCTGTCCCAGCTGTCTTCTTCACTACGGTAAATGCATTACGATGGCTACACTCTCCTGTAAAGGTTCAGGTGGAGGAAGGTGTAGGATGAAGTCTGGACACCATCGTTTTGGTTTTTAAAAGCTTCAGCTCCTCTAGCACCTTTGCATTTTGAATGTCTTCCTGCTTCTAGTCAAAGGTTTCTCTCCAGTGATTGAAATGCTGCTGTACGCCTGATTAAAGGTGCCTGAGGATATCACCTTTTACAAGGAAGCCCTGTGTGCTTGAGAGGATCTTGTTAAATGCATTATGGCTCATGCAGCCTCACAATTAAAGAAAAACAGGGATTTAGAAATCAATGCTGAAGAAGAGACTGAGAAAAAAAGGAAACACCGCAAACGGTCCCGGGATCGGAAGAAAAAGGTAGCTATGTATGCCAGAGCATATATCTTGCCTGGATTCTTTTTGTTTTAATCTCCTCCTGGCATCTGTTAGAAGCATTAAGGGCTATTTTTACATGCTGTATAGGGTGTAAATTGGGTGTGCAAATGGGGAACAGCCGATGAAATCCTATGGCAGACCATGGCCACAGGATGGGCAAGGCAGGGGAAGGGTTTCTGCTGTGGGGTTGATTGCGGGGCTCTGCGGAAGGTGTGCTTCACTTTACATAGGCTTGGGCATGTTTCCATGACACAGAAAGATGTTCTGAGGGAGTTAAAAGTAGTTTCTTCACAGCCCGGTCAAGGGTAAATGGACCGCAGTGACTTAGGTTTGAGGGAGAGGCCATAGAGCCAGGCTTTGTACTTCTTAGAGGTCTGTCTCCTGGGAAAGGAGCTTTTGTGCTGGAACTGTATCACATGTGTGCATTTCTCAGGCAGATCTGTGACCTTAAAGACGTGGCAGAAAAGTCATTTCCTGCTTTGCTTTTTTTTCTCTTTCTTTCCTTTTGCGTCTTATTTCTATAAGGTGCTTTTACTTAGGTTGTGCAATGGAAATAAGCCACTAGAAATAACTCTCTTTTGTTAAATAAAGCTAAAATCACAGAGGTTTGTTTTTCCCTGCTGGGTGAGAGTGATTATCCTGAATGCAGGAATTCCCATGACATGGCAGGGACCTGCAACCATCAGCACTGATTGCTTTAGATCAAAGCATGGGCATTGATGATCCCCTACTGATATTCGAATGCAGGGGAAAAATAGGAATATTCCAGGTCAGTGGTGTTTCATTACAGCCCAGCAGTACTTATTCAGTGTTTGGTGGCTTTGCCCTTAAATGTGACTCATAGGTACCAACCAAGAAGTGAGGCCCCAAAGCAGTTTTTCTTTATGACAATTAATAAAAATTGACTAAAACTCTGTGATCTGAATATGGAAGTCAGGTCATAAAGCATTTTTATGTGTCTGTGAGAATTCCCAATGGAAATATACTCTTAATTTGCTCTGAGCATCCATGCATGTGCTTTCTAAATGACATGCAGATTTCACCCTGCACATGTACCTTTCTTCAGGAGTGACCATGAATATTTTTGGTACCCTTGTCATTTTCTTCCAAATTAGGATCTATAGAAGGTGGTTCTGTGCCTTTTGTTTTATAGTAGACTTGGTAAGACTGAATTTGGAGGGCTCCAGTTGTTTTGCTGTAAGATGTTAAATATAGATAGTTCCCACTTCAATATTCTTATAAATAAACTTCTTGAATATATTTTCATAAAAGTACAAACTTAGGTTAAGAAATTCTGTGCAGGCATATTTTAAAGCCTAATACAGCAGAGTTGTTATGAAATTGTTATATTTTGCTAGATTCTGGTCTAATTTTATTGTATTAGGTTTGTCTGTGGGTAAGTCATTCTTAATTGCCCCTCTCCACAACTCCCTACCCACCCCCACCCTGATAAACTGGCTTCTAAGAAACACGGGAAAAGGTACATGTGTTTGTATAAAGATAGGGTGTCATCATTAATGTGAATACTAGAGAAGAGTTGTTAGCCTCTTCAGGCTTGGGTCTAGCAGTTTCCCATAGCAGTGATGACAGACCTGCTGCCTTTGTGCCTGGGCCTCTGTTTGACTTGGAAGCAAAATAGGGAAGGGGTGAGGTGAAGGGAGTTTCTGGACTCACTGAGCTGAAGCAAATGCTTTGCAGACCAGAATGCTTTGTTATGAGTACAACAGAGTCTGTCCAATATAAATCTCTTAGCAACCAGAAGGGAACATGGAGAAATATCAATATCGCTATTGTAAATGTGCAAGTGAATTTAAATGTTTTGTTCTCAGGACACTTGCAGAGTAAGTAGATCCAAAAAGTGGCTTATGGATAACACTTTCAATGCTGTTGCACTTGTTAATTCATAATAATATAATAAGTGTGTTCCTTACTGAAGATACACTGTATGACGGAAAGTACGATATTCATAGTCAGATTATTTCATGGACTACTTTTAACATACAAAGTTAATATTAAATTATTCTAAAGACATACTCTAGATTTCTTTCAGTGGTATATCGTATATAACCCTTACTCCCTATAAAGTGAATTGTTTCCACTTTGAGTTTCTTTTTTCCTACCTCTTCCTAAGATCCTAATTAAGGCCCATGGGCTGCTTTGTTTCATATTGTACATCCCATGTCAACTGAAAAAGCTGCCTTTAAATGTTTTGTATGTTATTATGGGGATGGTTGCTCTTGTTCATATGCAGAAATATCCTCTAGGATCTTTTAATTGTATAAAATAGCAAGTACTCTCGTAAAATCACACAATAGAAAAGCTTAGGAAGTACCTTAGCTACTTTTATCTAGCAATACTGTATCTACTATATCTACTATTATCTACTGCTAGATGAAAGAGTGTCTCATTTATAAAGTAAGGTATTTTATGGCACTCCTGAAGTTCAGGTTTGAGCAAGCCCAAGACGAACCTTTCTTGATCATATCCGTATGACACAACATCATGTGCTATGGGATGTTACTAAGTATTATAATAAAATCATAATACATATGCAGACTTTATATTGAATTCACATTTCATTGGGCTTTTAAAAATCCAGTGAGTTATATGCTTGGTTTATTTTAAATATGTTAACTATGAATAAGTGATTGCCTGTCAAAAAAAAAAGAGTAGAGTACTTCTAGGAATTTATAATCAGCTGGATTTTAATAAAGATGTGTTTTATTCTTGACACAAAACTTAAGTAGTGTCAAGAGAAAGGAAATCTTCCTATTTGTTAAAAGGAAGTGCATTTACGTCAATAAACCCTTAATCTTTTATTGCCAACTTTTTTTTTTTTTTTGCTTGAAGAAAAAAAAGTTTAAAAGTTGCGTACCAGTATATTTACAAATATCCCTTACCCACACGTGCCCACTGCCCTTGCCTGGCATATTTTCTTTTTCTCCTTCACACTCCTCTCCTGAGGGCCTGCTTGGTTGGCAGCAAGTGGGAGGCATGCCAAAGGTGGACAGAGTGCCTGTGGGTGGGTTAATATTGGATCCCTGCCCTGACTAAGCAACTTGCAGAGAGGAACTCTGTATCCCCTCCTCTCCTATCAGGGTTCCTGGCCCACAGGTGGTGGTTAGTAGATGGCCCATCCTACTACGAGCCTATACAAGTCACAGAAACTCTTCTTGTGGTGCAGGCTGCACTCCCTGGACATCCCTCGTTGCCACTAGCATCTGGTGCCACTTTACCTGCTTGTTTTGCCCTCTGCCCACATGAACTATAAAGTACATTTCAGTAGTGAGGAATATTAGGAGAATTGGTCCTAATTTGTTCAATAAATTTTTTTCAGTATATGCATGTATGCTTATATGTATTTGCCGTGTCCTGTCAAAAAAAACTTTGTGGTGACCTAAAGAAATTGATATTAAAAAAGGAAACATTATGGAATTCCTCTCTCTCTCTCTCTCTCTCTCTCTCTCTCTCTGTGTGTGTGTGTGTGTGTGTGTGTGTGTGTGTGTCTGACACAGTGCTAGATACTGGGATAAAGTGGCAATTAATTCCATGATTAATATCCTTTCTGATTATTGATGTCAAACTTATACAGTTAATCAGTGGCAGAGCAGGAATGAATATTCATCACTTCATGCTTGCATTCATGCATTCATTCAGCAAACACTTGTTGAGTGACAGGCATTGCATTGACTGTTGGATCCACTTGTTCTGTGGATCAGGCATTGCATTGACTGTTGGAGACAAAGCTAAAAAAGGCCTAATGGTAACAGTACAGTTGCTCCCAGCAGAAGTAGGGAGAAAGATAAGAGCTCCATTAGCTACCCTATGTAGTGTATGAAAAGGGAGCCTCAGGAGCCCACAGAAAGATCCCCAGTTGACTTGAGGGAGCTCAGAGAAGGCTCTCAGTGAAGCTGAGCCTTGGAGGAGTCGTCAGTGAGATAGACAAGCAGAACAGGAATCCCATGCCCAAAGTGATGGAAGTAGGAAAGACCATTGGGGTGTGTGGGAAACAAACAAGTTAAGAATGCCTGGAGCAAAGGGCAGGGCAGAAAGAATGTCAGGAGAGAGAGGCAGGGCCAGAGCATGAAGAGCTTTGTATGCCATCTTACAGAGTTTGGAAATCATCTATCCTGTTTGAAGGAGAGAGGAACTTTAATGGTGGTAGTAGGGAGAGAGGACTGTGAATAGCTTTATGGTTGAGCCATCTCTCGAGCATCAGTGTGGCAGACAGCAGCAGGGAGAGCAGTCAGGAAGCTCTGATGGTGATCCAGGCATGACATCATGAGAGTCTGAACCAGGGAAGAGACTATACTGGTGGAGAAGGGGCGTAGCATACAAAAGATATTTAGGGGAAGACTTGGCAGAACTTGGCAAAGGATTGTATGTAGGATGTGAGAGGGAGAGATTGGATTCTAGGGTAACTGCCAAGTTCCTGGCTTGAAGGGGACAATGAAGAATGAAATTTCCTGGATTTATGTCTTCTCTTCCAGGACATTTATTGATTACTTATTATGCACTAGGTAGGGTTTTACATTGCTTTATAGGTGGAGGCTCATTTAATCTTCACAATAACCCTACAAAGAACATATTTTTATTATCCCCATTTTACAGATGAGGAAAATGAGGCATGAGCCTTTAAGCTGGTTGCCCAAAGCTGCCACCCTAGTTAGTGGTAGAGCTGGAATTCCAAATTGGGCAGTCTAACTCTCTAGCTTGTTCCTATAACTACTACGCTATGCAACATATTGAGTATGGGGCATTAATATTTTCACAGCTACACATCAAAGTGGGCTTGTTTCAGAGAATGTTCTAAATGATAGGCTGTTTCTCACACATCTGAAACCTTAAGTAACAGGCTTTATGTCTCTAAGTAACCCAGTATTGTAGTGTGTCTGTTTTTTTTACCCTCTGCAATAGATTTTAATGTTCCGTCTTAAGGTTCTCTTTTCTTTTTTAGTTTTGGAAGATAGAAATGAAAATTA